TCTCACACCACCAAGACCTGCAAGGCTTCAAGGGCAGCTGGCCACACCCAGGTGGAGGCCACTTCTCGCCCTATTCCCCAAAGGTCCAAGGGGCCTGCCAAGACCAAGGGCCCCCAGCATCTAAAGCAGCAGCCTGGTGGAAGCAACCTGGTCCTGAGCGTGTCACCAGCCAAGGAGGTGCCTCCAGGCCCTGATGGTGACACCCAGCTCCCGGCCTCCCAGGAATCCACGGCCACCTCTGCGGACAGCAGTGACAGCTCCTGTAGCTCACAAAGGTAACCAGATGGAGGGACAAGGCCAGTGGCTTCATAGGCCTTCTGACCAGTGAGTCTGAGAGTTGGCGTAAGTGAGTCCTAATGGCCAATGTTCAGAAATCTTGGTTGCCTTCCGGGTTTGAATGACAGGAGACCCGGGTGGGGTTAACGGGCAGCACCCGTGGGCCTCCTGTGCAAACCTTTGGAGCTCCTGCGTCCTCACCCAGGTGATGCTCCCTCAAGTGAGGCCAGCCTAGCACGGCTGCCCTCAGCAGTGGAGTCTGGCTGAGGGTGTGATCCGGCTCAGGCCAGTGGCTAGAGTACCAGGAACACAGCAGCCTGGAGGTCCTGCCGCCCTGGGGGTTGTCCATGCCACGTGCTGGGCTCCTCAGGGGACGCAAACTCCTTCCCTCCAAGAGACTCCTGGTCTCAGGTAGTGGGCTGGAGAGAGAGAAGGGGTGTTGCAGATGTTACTGCCTGGTTCTTTTCAGTTCTTCCTGTGAGTTTGGAGCGGCCTTGGAGTCTGCGGGAGAAGACGAGGCAGGCGAGGAGGGGGTTAGCGCTTCGCAGGCGGCCGTCCAGGCAGCGGCCACAGAGGAGGCCGTGAGGCATTACATACGCTCCCAGCCGGCCCTCTACCGCAAGGTCCTCCTGTACCAGCCCTTCGAGCTGGCAGAGCTGCAGGCCGAGCTGAAGCAGCAAGGCATCCGCGTGGCCATGGGGAAGCTGCTGGACTTCCTGGATGCCCATTGCATCACCTTCACCACAGCTGCCGCCCGCAGGGAGAAGATGGAGAGGAAGAGACGGCGGCGTGTGGGCAAGAAGAAGCAGGGCAGGACCAGCAGGCCTGTGCCCCCCTCCCCACCCCCGGCCACCAGCAGCCTGAGGGTCTGCAGCCCCCTTCTTGAGCCCGCCCCCCGTGGGGTTTCCACTCCCCTGTGAAGTAATGGTGGCACCCACCCAGATCGGATTCCTCCTGGCTCCTTTCCCTGGAGTGGTACTCCGAGGTGTCGCCCGCTGGATTCAGGGCCCTGGCCCCTCCCTCCATCTGTGCCCACCGTGCGTCTTCTTTTAACCCCGTTGGGCCCTAGTTTATTTCAGGAGGGTGGTAGGCTACCACCAGCTGGCCAGGGTGAGGCCTGATTCAGCTGCGTCTTCTGCTGTCTCCGTCCACCTGCCACAGGTGTCTGTGTCCCGAGGTGGATGTCTGGGTCCACGGTGTCCCACCTGTGTCTTCCTTCTCAGCACTTGGGCTGTAATCCCAGCTCCACCAGCAGACCAGGTGTCTACAGGCCCCACACTGCCAGGCCCTAGGTGTTCTGCTGGCCCAGCCATCCTGCCCAGACACCTGTCATTGTCACCAGCAGTCTCCAAACGGGCCAGTGCAGAAGGCCCAGGACAACTCTGAAGCCCCCCAGATAAGCACGTTCCTCATTAACTGGTTCCAGGTGAGGGCCAGGAAAGAAGTTTAGGTCTCCTTGTCCCGGTGAATGTCTTGTCCTGTTTTAAATACCGTGCAGTCTGTTTGATATGATGTGCAATAAAAACAAAAAGGCTTTATGAAAACCTTCCAGATACTACACTCTAGAAAAATAAGGAGAGAAACAGGCTGTGGAGAGGGGGCCCACAGCCCCGCTGCTGCCCCCACACCCACGTCTGCACAAGGCCTGTGCCTGTTCTTCGTCTCAAGGGGTGGCCCAGGCCTGCTGCTCCTCGTTCCTCTGGTTCTTAGATAGCACATGTTCATTCTTTCCTTCATCCACATTTGTCCACACACCCACACCAGGAGCTGAGCTGCTGTCCGCAATGCTCCAGGAGAGGCTGGAGGCCCAGCAGCATGGCCAGGGTTTGTTACATGCATGCTCGGGCCGCCTACACCCACGGAGTCAGAGTTTGCATTTTAACAGGATGAGTTTGTGAAGCCTGGTCTGGCCTGTGTGCTGGGCCCTGTGGAGAGAGTGGTAACAGATGCTTCTGGTCATCTGGTGGAGGAGACAGACTGGCCTGGCCTGTGCTGGGTGCCAGGGTCAGTGCTCGGGTGGCCCAAGGCACAGCTTCCCAGAAGAGGGGCTTGTGAGCTGGGCCTCGGGCGTGCAGTGTTCAGGGAGGTGAACTGGGGCTTCTTGAACGTGTGTTGTGCATCCTGATTAGTGACCAGGCGGACAGGACCTGGCCGTGCATGCTGCCCAGGGGCAGACGACTAGAGGGAAGCCAGGGCTTAGGTCACACTGCTCTGACCAGACTGAAGATGGAGCCTGGCCTGTTCTAGAAGCTACCGTGTGTTTCTTGTATGAAGAGCTTGATTCCCCCTCCATGGTACAGACTGTTTTAGGGAAATGAGACAGTTAGGAAGAAGGGCGGTGTCTCGGGGTCCTGACCTGGCTTCACTGGCTCGTTGGGGAGATGGTGCAGCTTTGGGTGCACCCCCTGGGGAGTGGCCTGGGGAGCCCTCACTCCTTGGAAGGTGTCTCAGGCTCCCAGGACATCACCAACTCCAGGTTGATAAAGAGATGTTGGAGGAAGGGTTAAAATTGGTATAAAGGCACCAGCCAGGTAAAGGCAGGGAGGGTAGGTCTGGGAGCTGAAGACCTTGGCCAGTCGGGTCTGTGCAGCGCCTCCTAGAGGCCAGCAGGGGATAGCAGTGGGCCTGGCCAGGGCTCGAGCTGCAGCCTGAACTGTGTGCAAAGCAGGGGAAGGGGTTAAACCAGTCACTGCAGGAAAGAAACCACTACAGCCCGAGAATCCCAGCATCCCAGGAAAGCTTGACATTTCTGGAAGAATTAGACCTGCTCAGGACCTAGAGAAGTAGGTGTAGCCAATTGATTGAAAAGGAGCTGGTGATGAAGAGCTGTCCTCTCCCAGTGCCTGCAGAGAGCCTGGAGGAGCTGCGGCCGGTGGCCTCATGGGGGACAGCAGGCCCAGGCGTTCCTCTGCAGAAGCTGCCCTGCCGCCACAGGAAGAAAGCACGCTGAGCCCCGGTACAGCGAAAACCATGAGACACCCACACTTTGATGTGATGTGACCTCTCAGGCCGGTCCCACTTCCTGTGGCCTGACTTCAGCCTGGACATGATCACTCAAGGCAGCCCAGCTTGAGCAGGGCCCAGGCAAGGGGGCCCCAGGGGCCTGCGCAGCCCCAGAGCAGCCCCCCCAAACAGGCAGGAAGCCTCAAGCAGGGCTGGGAAGGGCCCTTCTGGCTGACCACAGCTCTGGGTGGACAGAAAGCCCCAGAGTGAGAATGACCATGGGAGACCCCGACCCCAAACATGTGAACACCCGCAGGAGAGTCAGGAGAAGGCCCCCCAACCTCTCAGGGGTGCTGGCAGAGGGAGCCCATGGCCCAACCCTGTCTGGTTGTGGGACATCCCTTCCAGGTGGGGAGGAAAGCTGGGGGCCAATGCCAACTTAGGGATGCTCCCGGGATCCCCACAGGGGACGCTGTTTCCTCTGTGCTCAGGATCCACCCACCCTGAGTGGTGGAAGGAGGGGCAGAGCAGGCCTCCTGGCCTCTCCCGTGTGACAGATACCTACCAGGCCCCTGCGGTTTCCAACATCCTGTGGGCCGCCTGCTTTCAGATGACTTCACTGCACCTCCGGCTGAGGCTGCAGCCACCAGTCTACATTCTGCCTGCCTGGAGTCTCAGCAAGCTTCTGGAGGGTAGCCACTGTGTGTCCCTCAGCTCCTGGCAAACACTGATAGAAGGAGGGGGAGGGGGCATGGTCATCATATGGAGCACTTCTGATCTACCACCTTGGTCCCCTCCTCTCCCCTCCATCACCCACACAGCTCTTGAGGACAGACTAATACAAGCATACACCCCCTTCCACCTCTGCTCATACACAAGCTGCTGCATGCATCTGAACCTATTGCTGTCCTGCTCTACAACCATCA